AATCACGATTTTGCGACACGTCGAAGTAAAAACAAAGCAAGCTTCATGGCATTTCAATATTGCACAAATTCAACGAATCTTACGAAGTACTTTACATTTTTTACATAAATAAAAACCCTCTAACAACTCTTTGTCATGATTACAGCAGTCACGATGACTTCCAACATGAAAAGATACCTTACACGGCCCGCTGACATGACGGTGCTTTGTTAAATACTTTATGAAGATGGACGTTTATGAAGTAAATGGGTCTTCGGTAAATATTTCCCTTTCTTAGGCTACCGACAGAAATTTCATTTGACCAATTGTTATGGTGGCGCATAAGTAATTATCACCCTGCTCGTAGTATAGACGCTGTAATTCAGAGTCACTTCTTGTAGTATATGCGGAAAAAAGAGTTTCAATTTCACACACGAGAATGAGTGTGCGGGATACTATGTGGATTTGAAAATTGCCTTTTATATATAGGTCAGGCATCTGACGATAATGCACATAGTTATTGGCAATATGGTAACATTTCAAAAGGTGTTAATAAAACCTTTTGCCATGACAAGACAGTAATGCATCTATTTGGCACGCTAGTTGTAGTATTTCCTTCTATCAGTTCCTTTAATGTTACTATCATTGATGCTTGTAGCGTTTAAAGGGATCGTTTAACAATGTTAAATCTGAGATACACGGCCCTAAGTGTTATCAGTGTCTGTGATATGGTGTAATATTGAAGCCCTAAAAAAATTGCGCTTCAAAATGATCAAGAAGTGCCTCAAAAAAGTAAAAATCTTTGAGTGACCGGTTTTACCATACTCGTTTTCCCCAATAGACTGTAGTGTTATGAAAACCGTCAGGCGAACGGTTTTCAAAATTTGTAATTCCAATCATAAATATCTTGATAATCAGACAGGCGATCGGCTTGTAATAGTCATGGGGCTCCTGACTGACCTAAAGGTTTATAATTATCATTGCATCATGAGCTAAATCCAGAATTTTGTTTCAGAATCTGAGACAAAGTTACCGGATCCCTTTAAGAACTCATTGGTATCTTTATGGACACAAACATACACAATTTCTTTGAGAGCTAAACTAAAGGTACTTTCAGTATTGACAAATACAGTACGAAATTGATGAGTTTCAGATGTACGCTAACATCGAGGAAATGTAAGGAGATAACTCCTCCTTTCATTACAAAAAAAGAAGAATGATTGACAAGAAGGTACAGGAGACAAAGGACTGACTTATAAAAAGAGTAAAACTCATGGACAATCTGAGAAATAATATAATAGTCAACGACCAGATGTTGTTTATCCAACATAATTCATGAATCACAAATAGACTGAATAAAACAGAGACAAGCAAGATTTTCGTGTAATTGATGAAGAAATTTGATCAATGACCGGTCTAAAATGAGAAATCTTCCATGAAATATCCATCTTTAACCTCAATGAGTTTTCCATCCCGTCCGAGTTCGTGGCACACTATGAAATGTAATAAATGGCGTTTTCTCTCGCTTGAATTCTTGCTCCGTTTCGGAATGTTGATTTTGACACCTGCTTAATGACACCGTGTTGCTGATGAACTCAAACGCGCGCACGCGCCCCCGTCGATAAAACAATGGAGCTGCGAGCGCATCGCTTTCGCAAAAGGTGACAACACATGTCTAATATGTTACGCATTAAACCCGCTAATGTGTGCCTTGCATTGGTTTAGCTTGTATTTACCTCCACCGAGAGAAAAAACGTATACAATCGTCCACGAATTGAGAAGATGGTGACATGAAAAGGAGTTGATGGTGACACAACAAGGGGGCAGCAAATATGATTATATTCATATCAATTTATGAGTCAACTTGGCGAGCGGGCGCGGGCATTGACGCTTTTCTTTCGAGACCAGTAGTCTGCGATAGACCGTGTTGGAGTTGACAAGCAGGCGACGCTATGGCGGTGCGTATTCAACCACTGTATAGAAAGCGTCAATACCAAGGACAGGAATGGGGACAGCCTCGTTCAAGGGCTGTTCAGACAATCAAAAACTATAATTCCACCATCACAAACATATCTTCCTTTAAATCTCGACCGTATAGAGAAGGAGCTGAAAGCTCGCGACGAGAAATAGTGTGTATGATGTGGGAGAGGGAAGACGGTGGGAAGGACAAGAGGTCTGCCAGAAAAGTAGGAGAGAGAGAAAGAGAGAAGTAGGGGGATGAAGTATGAAAGAGAGAAGAGTAAGAAATTATACTTCGAAGGTAGCGAATGATTATGTCAAATAAAGAGATAGAGAGGGAGAGAGAGAGAGAGTGGTAGATAGAGGGGGAAATTAAGACAGAGACGAGAGAGGGAGAGGGAGAGAGAGAGAGAGAGAGAGAGAAAGACGAGAGGGATAGAGAGAGAGAGAGAGAGAGAGAGAGCAATCTTGCACTGCTTAAATATTCCGTCTTTTTGTTTGCATTTATTGTGAACCGAGACTCTGATTGTATACACTGACAAGGACTGTTATTTTCTTTCAGCATCGTGAAAATCGTCTTGGGCTTGGTCACTGACCCTCGTTATTTTTTCATTTTCGCCGTTCTGCTGTTTGCTCATCGCAGCTGTAAGAGACGTGAATGGCCCAGGCCTGAATTTTAATTTGTTATGTGTGACCAAAACCAACGGTCAGGCACTAACTTCATTTCTTGTGCATGGGATGCACGTACCGGCCATCGTAGTCCCACGCGTGACAACTGACGTTATTACGATTAATCTACTTTTAACAACTTCCCATTTGGCGCCATCTGCTTTTTATGTAATTCCGGATGAACTTAAAGTACCCTATCCTCAAAGGGGAGAACCCTTTAAAAATGATCTGATATAAAATAAGTGTTTGAATTCGTTGATAGACTAATTAGTTAATCAATTATATTGTGATCATTGAAACTCCCAAATCTAAAATGGTTGACATGGCAGTAAAAACTGCTAAACAATTTTGTCCTGCCATTTAATACAAAAATCCCCGAAAATCTTCAACAATAATATCCAACATTTATTAAGAGACGTTAATATTTGTTATAAAACATAATATTTCATTCAATTCTAACCGGGTGATCGAATCTCTTAAAGCACAGATAAATCGGAGAGTAAATTCGTTTGATATTCCATATCATCGCAATCACCCATTGGGGTGATTTTCAAGACTTTTTTCTTCTTCAAGAATTGAACAATACATTTAAAGGTGATATGGAATCGAGATTCAAGTACTCAAAATTGGTAAATCATTTATATAATTGTATTTGAAAAACTTAAAGAGGCTATGGATGTATTGTGAAAATAAGGATAACAAGACGAACACTAAATTGCCATATTATTTCTTGTCAAAATTCTTCAACAATACCTTCCAGCATGTCAAGTACAAAAAACCATAGCGAAAAGCACAATTTATACATGAAGGATTTCCGTTTGCGTTGATAATAATCCCAAATCCCTCTAATGAGATATTTTCTCTGACAATTAAGACACACGGACCCACCCTCAGTGTAATCTTGTAATGCATTCACTTTTGGTCACACCATCTTGGGTTGTAAGATGTCGGTCATGGACGTGGTGGCAATGAGTTCAGCTGTAACAGTGTGAACTAACAAACAAGGCATCATCCTATCGTAAGGCTTTCACAGTTTATCACCCTGACCCTACCCCACTTCCCCACCATATTTTCTTTTGAAAGAGCTAATTGAAAATCTCAATTTTAAAGGGTTCCATAAACTGACGAAGCCCTCTGTGTCTTATATTTTGTTCTTCGAGTCAGAGCATCTTCCACAATGCAGCAGCAATGATGACGTCACTCTTATCATTTCGGAAAATAATGATATAAATAAAATAAAGACCAACAAAATGAGCGCTGTCTCTTTTAACATGGAAAATCACTGCCAATGTAACTTTCCGATATGTCCCCCCCCCCCATCACTATAAGCCAAAACTCAAACACGTTGAATTTCTTTGAGTATGTCAAATACATGTAATACCTTTAAATGTTTACATGCTAACCTCGTTTGGTTTGGTGAATGAAGGCATGCTCATAACATCACTGTTACTGCAATGATGGGCTTATTTTTGCATCACTTTGATTAAAGGAACTTGAGAACCAAACCGTTTGTCTTTACAAATCTGTAGTTGTATAATACATTATAATTTGTTATGTGTTATTAGTTTAACATCTCCATTTGAAATGCAGTTTAAGAATACAGCATTAGAATTTGATTCTAAAACCATGCCCGTCTCAGTAAAAGCAGATCTTCAAATTCCTAAATTCCTAATTTATAGAATCTTATTATTTTTATAATGAAAATGTTTGAACAGAATATTGAAATTTCATCTTCAACCATTTGTATATTGGATATCATCCTCTATTACTTAACCTTCCAATATTCTCCATCAACTACACGAAATCTTGCCATCTCACGTCGAAAATATGACTTGCTTATTTTGCATGCAACTGTCATCCCTCGCGATCATTTCGTACGTCGTAGAAAAAAAATATAACAGTTTAATACTCGAAAAATCCTTTGGAGTAGAAGGTGAATACGGGCAAGATTTGCAGGTTGACTAATTATATTGGACGTTGTATGCATGGAGCAGGGGATTAAGTGGAATCCATAACACCTCTTGATTGCGTCTTCTGACTACCATTCTACACCAGTCACATTCTATTTCCTTGCGTGTCTGGTCTCTACTTATCGAGATAGGATGCTGCTCTCTGACCAGAATACCAATTTATGATTTTTCTTATTTTTTTTTATCGCTGGGAGCGTGAGCTGCTTAAGACATTAATATTTCATTGCCATGTGCTTGGCAATGCCCTGTAGTATATACGTGCATGATATTTATCTTTTTACAACGTCCAGTGAGCGTGGTACATGATTGTGTATAGTGTATACAGCTAGTTGGATACATGATCATTATTTTGCACAGGGTGTTTTTGGAATATGAACTTCTGCTAAAATATCCATAGTTAAACACTCTTTAACATAGTAGTCTGAGAGATAAATTTGTGAGTGTTAATACATGTCTCTCGATTTACATGACGACTTCTCCAGAATTAAAATAACTAAGTATAAATTCTTATAAACTTAGCTCTATCATCTCATTTTTTATTTCGAAATCCTGCCGCAATAGTCGTTTTTAGTTGTCACTACTTGTACATTAATTCATTTACATATGTTGTCGTCAGATCTGAAATACCTTTAAAGACATCACTGTTTAATAAGCAGAGACATATTGTAACAGAGGAACTTGGTCGTAAACAATTTGAAAAATTAATCACCCATTCATAACCAAGCTAATCACTTATTTACCTAACACTTGCAGTGATTTTTTTTCAAAATAAGACCAAAATGTCTGCATACATGATACTGAACGTGTTAATACAACGTTAAAGAAGACATTTCAAAGTGACTGACCAGTTAACACCTTTACAAATTATCTACAGTGCATTTACACACTGACAAGTATCTACCTATACCAAATGAATGATTCTGGTATACAAAGTGTACACAGTATACGCTTTATTCAAACATTGATTGGTGTAGGATGTTCAAGAGGGGAAAATGCTTTAAGATAAAAGCTACATTTAAAGGTAAGATATATTTGTCAGTTAATCGCCATCAATTTTTGTTTACCAATAACATGAACTCCATGAAGTCTTGGGTTACGAGGCTGAAGAGATGAACGATGTTTTGTCTCCGGTAGGTTGTGCAGCGTGTCTTCAAGTTTAGATGTTGTATATTTCGTGTCATCTGTACGCCACAAAGGTTGCTCAATTCACCCGAGTTTACTCCATCGATACCACGTGACCTCTCATCGCGGCGCCATTTTGTGGGGAAACCTCAAAATGGCGCGGACCCAAATATATTAGCATCTTACTTTATCAAGTTCATAAATAGCCACAAAGTCTACTCTGTATATTACAAACTGAATGAGGAATGTCACCGTCTCTTGTTCCGCAAAGCTTTAAGTTCCATTTGTAATGACCATGGCTGAACCGGTGTGGCTAAGGTGCGCATGCCCACAGTAGCTACCTGATTTCAGTTCGGAATCTCCCAGTGATGACCCACCGGATAAGATGGTCTGACCCGGAAGAGCTCCCGTGAAGTGCGGCAAGGGCGGCGACGCCTGGTGGACAGATAGTGATGATGGGGTTGTCATGGCAACGGATGAGTGCATGTGATGGAGGTGGGACATGGAGTGACCAAGGTGCGGTGGAGGGATGCATTCTTTCATCTTCTTCTTCTCTTTCATTCGTCTGTTCTGGAACCAAATCTTCACCTGTGCCATATTGATAACAATGATGATAATGATAATAATAATAATAATAATAACGATATTGATGATGATAATAATAATAAATAGTAATAATATTAATAAGGCCAATAATTACGAGAAAGATACAAGAAAAATGAAGAAGAAGATGAAGAACATCAGTAGAAGTAGAAATAGTGGATGTTGTAGAAGCAAAGTAGACAATATTTACTTTTCTGACGTATTGATCATAATCATAATTGGAGGAAAGTAATCAAGTTGAATTAAACGCCTACCTGTGTTTCGTTGAGGCCTAGCATGGCGGCTATTTCTATTCTTCGGGCTCGGGTTAGGTATTTGTTAAAGTGGAATTCTTTCTCTAGCTCTGTAAGTTGCTTGTTGGTAAAGTTGGTTCGACCATTGTTGTTGGCTGCATTTGTAGCAAAGTCGCCTGCCTTGACTGTAAATCGAGAGAAGACAGATAAAAACAAAAGAAAGGTGTTTAGCATTGCTTTAAAAAAAAAGTTTTTATACATTTACACATACATACATGATGTGCTTTGTAAAGAACAGTGGCCATTTGATATCGGACATTAAAAGAAGAAGAAGAGGGCTAAACGAGAACGAAACAAGCAGAAGAGAAATCAGAAGACAAAGAAGAAGGAGAAGAAGTAGACAAAGAAGAAGAAACGAGAAACAGAAAGAAATAAGAGAAAAAGGAGAAGATGAGGAAAAAGAAGGAGGAGGAAAAAAGAGAATGAAGATGGAGATTTCGACGAAGTTTGTGAATCCCGAAAAGATGAGCAGCATCATAATCTAATTATAATTATTTCTTGTTCATGTTATAAAATGATCCGATACAGGAAAAACAAACAGAATTTCTAAAAATTAATAATCCATGATAAATGTATATGCATCTGATTGATATACTTTTTCCTTCAGTAAAACGAACTATGACGAATTCTCTGTACCTTTCCCTTAATAAAGCCGAACGGTAAACCGCCACTCTTTGTGAGATATTTAATTTCTTTTCAAAAATGGTCAATGGAATTACGAACTTTATAAATCCTGTGTTATCATGGTGTGAACACTGTGTAATGGTCAGGGTCTACTTTTAATAAGAGAATAAATAATAGAGAATAAATACAAAAGCTTTAGCGTTGTTTGGTGTAGAATACAATGCCCACGATATAACACGTATAGCGGAAACTGGACGTTTGTGCAAGCATTTGTCGAAACTGGCGGCCATGACTGCAGAAACACTAATCCTGATACTCTTTATATTACGACATACCCTCAAGTTTAGCAAGGGATATGATTACTAGGATTGCATGAATCTGATCTTCTAGTCCTTGAAATACCATAAGGTCCTGAGGCGGGCATGTGAAATAAAGCACGTCGTACGGGTAACCCTATTACCCATGTCCCTTCTACACCGTTCAAACAATACTTGAAATGATTTCTGAAGTTTACCTTTGTTGCACTGCCATGAAATCATCTATAGACAATTGAAAACTGTTGTTTGAGATACTACAGATATGAACATGATATACAGTTCGTTGATTTTGTGGATCAAAACGATAACATGTTTCTAAAACCTTCTTGAATATACATTTTGATACCATTAGTTTTTCCAAAACATTAGTGTTCTCTAACGCTCAATAGAATAGGAACATACATGCTAGTGGGGTAAAACGTATATAATTATCATTGGGGGAGTTTTATCTAATCTTGGATACTTTTTAAAACTTTAGGACAAAAATAGCATGTGCTCTCATAATTATTATCAACTTTTGTATGATTTCATCGTAAAGGATACCTATATTTGGGTCTATATTGATTCAAGGTTTCAGGAAGTCGCATCGAAACGGTACCAGCCAACTCTCCGTGGCCATATGGCATAATTCGCATACGTACGATCCCTCGTATTTAGCAATGAAACTTAAATGTAACATAAGTTATCCCTTTATAGTATCTTATTACTACCGTTAAAACCCTCCGAAATAGGAAAATCTTGAAAACATATCCCCTCCCTCCTCATCGTTTAGCTAATTAACGGTTGGTACGGTATAAAATCTATAGACACACGCAGTTCAGATAAAACAAAAAACATATTGTCGCTATGACAGGAAAGGGAAAATCGACCTTGATAGCTAACTTGATTAGAATAAAGCAGAACAATCAGAGAAGCATACTGATGAAAGTTTGAATGAAATCGGACAAAATTAGAAAGTTAATAATTTTTGAAAGTTACAATTACTATAGGTATGGGCTCTTCAATTTGGCTGAATTAATAATGTCTATGTGACAACCTTCCCATTTGCTCCAATACACAAAAAGGACTAGAACTTCAACTTTTAATAAATTTATCACTCGGGATGGTCTTTCCTTTTTAGAGGTCCTGTATATGTTCTCTCCATGATTATTTTGAGTAGTGTCCCAAGGGTGACGGCACTTGGAAGAAAAATAGAAATAAGTGATATTTTGTACGCCACAAACAGGAGAGCAATCCGTCACTAGATCACAATCCACTGACAAAATTGCCGATTTGGGATTCCCATAGCTGTAGTGATCACATATTTCAAACACTCATAACTTTCTTAATATTGGTCCGATTTATTTCAAACTTTCGCCATGCTGTTTCTCTGGTGTTTCTGCTTTAAGTGAAATTATTATTCTTATCTCTTTCGATTACTATTCTACGAATGTTTTGGTGACAAACCTCAAAGGAGGCCAATTTTAATCACGTACATTTTGAGTTTCTGAAGTGAGGAAAAGTACAGATCTCGCAGAAGATATTCCAGTGACATTACACTGAAAATCAAGTCCCACTTGGCAGAAAATAGTTTCTTGAAATGCTACAGCGCCGTAATGACAGCCATGCTAAAGCTATAGGGTAATAATCGGGAGCGCCAGGAGTGACAAGTCTGACAGACATGAGCGCTATACATGAAACTACTACCCTTATCATTATCATAATACTACAAACATATTCTATATAATATGTGTGAGGAAATACAGGCAATAAGTTGATAAAACACTTGTAGAGGGGCTGACAAATCTGCCGTTATCGAAAGGTTTTCGTGATTGTTGAAATTTGCTGGCTCCATCAACTCCCCAAAATGTATCGGGATTCTTATTCACCACATTATGAAATATTGAGCATTCTTAGAATAGATTCGAAACAATCACACTCAAAATATGAAGAAAAAAACACAAGATTGATATTTAAGTTGACGTAAAACCTACAATTTGTAAACATCATGAACATGTGTTGTCAACCAATTTCTTAAAAGGTCAGGTTAAAAGACCTTTTTATACTGTATATATAGATGAAGGAAAATTCTCCTTAATAGATGAAAATCTGTAAAAACAGGTCAATCTTTTAATCATAATATTTTGTCTTGTTAATAAATCATAAAGGAAATTTGTGTTTTTTTAGAACACAAAAGGTTTTTTTATTAACCGTGTTTCATAATTTGTAGCGAAACTCGTTGATCTTTAGTTTTTCTTTCAAGCTACCTTCGATTTCCACCTGTCTCTGCGTTACACTTGTATTCATGTGATGATGCATCTAAACCTAACAGAATTTTGGGAGAAAATGAAACTGCTTCCAGCAAAATAGCTAGTGTATGGGACCAGCACTTTATCCATCAAGCCATTTTCAGCTGTAGGGTATATATACACTAGCAGAGTTCTCTTTTCGCTCGTTTGTCTCCTGTTTTATTTTATCAAAAATTGAAGGGCAAAACAGGCTGATAAAAGGAGGAGGAAGAGAGACTACCGTTTGAAATTCACGCCGAAGTGTTAGTGCGGCATCATCAATTAAGTGCGGATATGCATCATTTATGGGCGACTGCTGCACGCTTAACACTTTACAAAGGTTTGACTCCAGAAGACCGGGAGAGAAACGGGGAACAGTGGCTAAACGGGAAGTGCAAAATCGCAAGTGATGCCTGCAGTGTCGTTTGGTGGGAGATGGGAGAGGGGGATGGAGAGGGGGAGGGTGGGTGATGATGAGGTGGGGTGGAGAAATGGCGTTACAATATCATAATATGGAAGAAGAGCGAAAAATAGGAATAATGAACAAACTGTAAATGGACTTTGAGATCATGATACATGCGCAGGGAGAGGAAATTGAGATAGACACATAAGAGGGAGAATGAGTGAGTTCGTGGATGAGATGTGTGATTGTGTGTGTGTGTGTGGGGGGGGGGGGGTGTGAGTGAATCTTATTTTATCCAGATTTTGGAAAGAGTTTGAATAGATATAAGGAATGTTATAATCCTATCCTATATTCCAGGACTAACGCTTTGCAAATGGATAATGGGGCATAACCCGTTTTTAAAAATCTAAGAGAAGAAATAACTGCAAACATTTTAGAAGAATGGGAGAGAAGATCGAGGCAAAATTTAAGGTTAAATACACATTATAGAAACATACAGAATACGTTTCATGAAGAAAGTTGAATACAGGACTAAGAATGAAGAGGAAATGTAGTGATGGGAATGAGAGAAGAAGAGAAAGAGAGAGAGAGAGAGAGAGAGAGAGAGATAGAAGAAAATTTGAACTGAAAGAGGAGGAGAGAGACGTCGTGGATAATAGGGAAAAATGTGAAAGGTGTTCAAATTAAACCTTTTACAGTATTGTGTCGCCTTTAGACACGACACTTCAGAAAACAAAGCTCGTGTGAACAATTTCCGCAAGTGTAGCTGTCCCTTCTTGCTTCCGTCGTCTGAAAAGTCATCCGCCATGGGCTATCCCATATACACCAGCTCTATGCATAAAGCTGTGGATCAGTGGATGGGATGACTATGTATGAGACGTATGTATGATGCTCTGCCGCCGATTTCCTACACTTATCGAATTCCTATTTCGACCCTGGATCAATTACTTTACCTAACACCAAACCTTGCCTTAAACCTAGCCTTAAAACCAATCACAGACCTAACCCTATATATCCTCTACGAAACAGGGGTACAATTCGAATCACCGCATTGAAAGGCTCGCTCACGATGTTTACGATCCAAGTTTGGGAGGAAACTATGTACGTCAACCATGTTATTTCTTTATACAGATCACCAATATTAATCTGGCTTCAGGAGACTGCATTATTTCATGAATGTTTGAATGGAATCTCGTCCAAACTGGGTTGTTTTCATTTAGGTTTACTTTTCACCAAACATTAATAACATACACGTAAATTACACAATAAGAATAAAAAGAAACAAAAAAGTTTGGATATCATTATTCAAAGCCATCAATAAAATGTTCCTTGTCTTCCCAGATGTTCAAACTCAATGTTGAAGGAAGAAAAGCATGTGCAATTGCCTTCAAGCGAAGATGTATGCGAAGTGCTCCAAAGCAGTGCACAACGAAGCGCCAAATTGTGCTTTGGATGTATGCAGACGTACCTGCATCCGTCGCGGCGCACTATGGACCAACTCTTTGGCTATCGCAAAGGGGCTCGAACTGAGAACCGCAGAACTATGTTCGAATTCTTTCGTCGCCTTCTAAAAGTTATTGAATATTGGAGAGCATGTAACCGACCCGGGAACACACATATATGACGATGAGTTAATTT